ACTATCTATCAGGCTCCTACAATCTGGGGTCATTATGTTCAGTCACTATTAATCAGGCTCCCACAATCTGGGGTCATTATGTTCAGTCACTATTTATCAGGCTCCTACAATCTGGGGTCATTATGTTCAGTCACTATCTATCAGGCCCCTACAATCTGGGATCATTATGTTCAGTCACTATTAATCAGGCTCCCACAATCTGGGGTCATTATGTTCAGTCACTATTAATCGGGCTCCTACAATATGGGGTCATTATGTTCAGTCACTATTCATCAGGCTCCTGTAATCTGGGGTAATTATGTTCAGTCACTATCTATCAGGCCCCTACAATCTGGGATCATTATGTTCAGTCACTATTAATCAGGCTCCCACAATCTGGGGTCATTATGTTCAGTCACTATTAATCGGGCTCCTACAATATGGGATCATTATGTTCAGTCACTATTCATCAGGCTCCTGTAATCTGGGGTCATTGTGTTCAGTCACTATTAATCGGGCTAGTACAATATGGAGTCATTATGTTCAGTCACTATTTATCGGGCTCCTGCAATCTGTCTTCTTTTTAAAGTCAGTTAAAACATTTTACATGTTGCTGGAACTGGTATTACACGTGTTTAGATACTACAGATTATATGTGTGAAAAGTAATTGAACTAACAATATATATATTCAGTCAGCTAGTTAGAATGGATACAAGTTTAAGCAGGTTTTCTACTCTTTTTGGCCAACCCTGTATGTATTCAGTTTCACGGAGTTCAGTAGTCTTTACCGGCAGTATTCTACTCCACTAGAATAACATAATATATATATTCATGTTGAGTTCCAGCGAAGCGATTGTGATTTTACTTTAAATATAACACTGTACAGTTACCAAAAACAGGAGTTTTGTGAGAACGTGTTAGAATAGCTAATGAAACTGAATATATATCGAAAAGCTTAGAAAAATCTTCACTATAAACTGTGTCTTGTCGAAACAGAGTGATGTCTTATAAAACCGGGAATACCTTTACACCTGAACGTATCACGTGACACGACTGTCAATGTTGCATCCAATTACCGTAGGAATACCCTCCGCATTTTGGAATCTTGGGTGCGCTTTAAGATTGATTTAAAATTCCACTGTTCGATCAGACCAGAGCAGCCTAAGAACTGCATATCTTTGCCTCTCCTCTGGTCCAGTGATTCCCCACCTGTGGTCCCCGAACCCCTGGGGGTCCGCGAAGATAATACCATCTCATTAAACAAGTAAGTTTTTTTGATTCTGCTGTTCTTTTAATTGCACACTCTTTTATTTGATAGTGAAAAATGGAAAAACAAGTTAATTATTAGTAAGAAAAATAGTTTGTTGGGTAGATGGAATCTTTCAAAAAACATGGGGTCCTTGGTGGTGAAAAGGTTGGGAACCGCTGGTCTAGTCTATCAGTTCAAAATTAAGTACGGCTATGACAAGCTGGTGATCCTTGTTTAGCTTTGCGTGAAAATTCTAAAATTGTACTACAGATCTGCAAGATGGTCAACATTTTTTCGGAGACAGTCCTGTTTTGTGAACAATATAAAAACTATTTTATTTTTATTTTATTTTATTTTTTATAAAACTGTTTTTCCCATCTCTGTAATAGAGTAGCTACGACTAAAGAAGATGTTAAAGTATATTACGTTTCTAAATTCTTCTTCCCACATTTTAAACAACTTATCTTTCTTGTCTACCCACTGAGACTGACAACGCTGTAACTAGTGTTGTTCAGATGTTAAAGATGCCAGAAATGAATGGTGTGTTTTGACGCCTAATCCCTGTCTGTGCTACCTGCTTTCACTCCCCTAATCCATCTTCTTTGGGCTTATGATCATCTCTCTATTACTTACTGTTGTGGATTGGTTACACGAAGCCACGCCTACTCACTTGTGGGCGGGGCACACGACTCAACGACCGGTATATGCAACTTTTCAGTGAAGTGATATACAAGTTATGTAGCTCTCTCTGACATGTAGTTAAACTTAGCTCTCGCTGAACTGTAGTTTAGCAGGCACGTTGCCATGCCAACAGAATTGGAGACAGTTATCTGATAAACACTGGGTCTAGTCTTGGTGGGAATTAGTAACCTTACTCGGTCGATGTAATTCTGCACGGTAACGAGATTATTGAGAAGGTCTTACAAGAAGACGATTCATTACTGTTTCTACAACCCGTTATAGTTTCTTCTTGTAGTCAGAGAAAACTGTGGGTTGGAATTTGTCGAAGTTTTTTTCAATTACACTTACAAGTGTTTGTCTCCTTCCGAGAGCAAAATAAGTCCTCTATTGTTCAAGGAATTAGCTTTTTCTGAGTTTTTTACACAAGCCTACGGAACAATTACTGTTTAGTTGAACATAGTTGTTTTAATTACTAGATGCGGCTCTGTTGTTATGGATACCAGATTGTTGTACCACTCCACCTTTCGTGAAGCTCACCACGACTTCTTGGCCCATCTTGGTCGGTCGCTCCCACTAACTTACGGCCACTTCTCGGGCTCGCAGCTCACCAGTTATGCGGCAGCCATGGGGATACATCCCGCATGCTCATACAGGCGTTTACCGTCATCATCAGCCACATGTTTTAATGGATTTTCCGCTGAACAGGGAATGTCCATCGGCATGATACCGTCACACCCTGCCGTTCCTGTGCCAGTTAAGTCCGGCATCCAGGGAACAAGCCTCGGCCGTCTTTGTAACGAACAATCCACCCTTCTAAAGTCACTAAATGAACTTGACGGAAAAGGTGAGTCCAGTTTAACGCCAAAACTTAGCTAACTATTACTATGTCATTCGTGAAATAAATGTTTTTTATATGTTTGTTTTTTCGTGAAAGGCTATTACAGTTATATCGTATATTCCGTTATTAGTTATAATTAGTTAATTGTGACATATATTCATTATATTTGAACGTCAAACTGTTAGAAACTTGAACATTATTTATTTATAACTTTCCGTATTTGGATTACTAGGCCTACAAAAAATAAAACTACTTGCAATAACGGTAGACTACTACGAAACAGATTAGGCTTAGAAGTGTTTGGTATACCGTTACTCAAGGGTAAGTTTAACGTATCGCTAAATTTGCCGTGTCCGAACTGCGGTGGGCCTACTACTACAACTTTGAAATTAAGGTATATGTCAAAATTATACAGTTTAAAAAACTGTATTATAAACTGTATATTTAACTACTCGAATTACTGACAGAAGTATTTGTAATAGATTTAATTCCACAGAGAATGATGTTAATAACGTATTATTTTGTTTTTAAACATAAAAACTGTAGAATGGGCTCGGCTATTTACGCTGTGCCCACTGCCAGGGATCGAGTCCTGAATTATCGCATTATACGCCCTGAAGGTTACGGTTGAGTAGCAAAGGGGCAAAAATAATAATCATCACAATATATCATGATTTGCGCAATGGAAGAGCGCTCCTGAAAGGTTGAGCGATCTTTATTTCAATAATATTATATAGTGATCAGTTTTAATCTATTGACGTAACTGACGATAATGTTTCATTGTGTTGAATTTATTGTTGTTCCAAATGTATCAGTTCTGTTAACCTAACAATTAACAATCGCTTTAATATACAACACACCCATACTTAACGTGTTGTTGTTACGAGTTAACTTTTCTGTTGAAGTCACACAAAAACAATGTTGAGAAGTTTTGTTATTCTTAATTTAGTAAATTGCTCATATGTAAATATTATGATCACGCTGGACGAAGTGTACAATCGTTTTTTATACAAGACCCTATGCACGTAATAGAAACTTTTTCAAGTTATGCATTAAATAACTTATTTCTTCAGTTACGTATGATCAGTTAAATATATGCATCCTGTAACCAAAGCTTCTATTAGGCCTCACAGTGTCAAGTTTTTTTGCTAGATTACAACATCTAATTCAGATAAAGCTGTGACAAAAAAATAACTAAACTCGACGCCGGTTTCTAAAAAAAGGAATTTCGTAAAGAGTCGGTACTGAAATCTGATTGATACCGTCAGAATCTGATTTATTCTTAATATCACTTCAGAAATAATACGTGCTGGTCTGCTCGTTTCGCTGTAGCCAAAGTCCTTGATTTTTTCATTACATACCGCACGAGAGAATAATTTCGGTGTTAAACAAGGACGGAGTACGTGTTAGATAACTTTAAAACAGAATGATGTTAAACAGTTTTAAATTGAATGATGTTCATGTTAAACAGTTTCAAGCAGGACGACGTCCATATTAAACACTTTTAAACTGAATGGTGTTCATGTTAAACACTTTTAAACTGGATGATGTTCATTGTTAAACACTTTTAAACCGAATGATATTCATGTTAAACACTTTTAAACTGAATGGTGTTCATGTTAAACACTTTTAAACTGGATGATATTCATGTTAAACACTTTTAAACCGAATGGTGTTCATGTTAAACACTTTTAAACTGGATGATATTCATGTTAAACACTTTTAAACTGGATGATATTCATGTTAAACACTTTTAAACTGGATGATATTCATGTTAAACACTTTTAAACCGAATGGTGTTCATGGTAAACACTTTTAAACCAAATGGTGTTCATGTTAAACACTTTTAAACTGGATGATATTCATGTTAAACACTTTTAAACCGAATAGTGTTCATTTTAAACACTTTTAAACCGGATGATGTTCATGTTAAACACTTTTAAACCGGATGATGTTCATGTTAAACACTTTTAAACTGGATGGTGTTCATGTTAAACACTTTTAAACTGGATGATGTTCATGTTTTAGTTTCTTTAGTTGATGACCTGCAGGTCATTGTTGTAAATATGATTATAAGACAACGCGTTACTGTTATTGTTTGCCATAAGTAACTCATCAATAAAGTGGATTTAAATTCATGTTTTCCTAACAATAACCTCCCAGGTGGACATAAGCGGCGGAACGATTTTTTCATTATTTTTTTTGGGGGGGTGGGGTACCGATGATCGGGGCAAGCTGTGAACTGTACACCAACCCTCATAGTCGAGACGATACTTTAAAATATTTCCTATGTGTTTAGGCTTAGGATAAAAGCTGTTCTGATTTGCTTAAACACGTGCTCTATTTTTCCACAGAGAATGACAGTTCGAGGCTATCTAGTTTTACAGCTACATTTATAACGATCAACTTTTGTTTATGTTGCTGTGGTATTTGTAACTTGGGCCTAATTCAATAACAGAACTGATGTAATCAGTGTATAAAACTTGCTGTCCTCTTTCAATAAATGATTGCAAATCTTTTAATTTCTAATTGGTGGTGTCTTGTTTTCGCCATTTCACGTATTCGTCAGATATGAGAAACGTAAATTTTCAATCGTTATTTTGCCTCTTTAGTTATATGTAAACTTTACAGTTTCATTATCTGTTCCGAATGACACAGTGTTATAATGTCTGTTTTACTGTAATATAGATCATCATTACGAAAGTAATCTCTCCTTGTACTGATTGACTTGCTCGGGTTGACCCTGTGGGAGATAGGGCTCTGGATGTCGGGCTGGCGAGCCGGATTCGAACTCGTGCGATATTGCAAAATATTCCCCGCACTTTAAGCTATAGATGCCCTGTAAGAGTGGCAGTCAGTTCCTTAGCATGGATGGTCGATGTTAGGGTGCTGCTTACTATTGCTTTCCCTCTGGTCAGTAGTTAAAAATTAGAGGTGGCGACAGATAGCCATACATACTGACCGGCTCTTAGACATTTTATAACCCCAGCAATTCGAATATAATTAATGTCTCGTGATTTTAGACGTTGACCTTTACCATTTGACCCAAATTCATTTGTTACCTCAAAACTACAATCACGCTAATATGTTAAAGTACGTATTAAAATATCCGGGGATTCTTTCGCTACTTGCGCGCTGCCCACCACGGGTATCGAAACCCGATTTCTAGTAGTATAAGTCCGCAGACGTACCACGGTGCCACTGGGGGCATATCTTTCGCCCAGAATAAATTAATATCACGAGACTTGTTTGTTTTAGCTCTGTCCACCGCGTGGAATCGAACCCTGGATTTTAGCGTTGTAAATCCGTCAACTTAACGCTGACTCACCGGGAGACAAGTTATCTCTGTTTACAGAACCTTTAATTTATCAGTAGTTGTGGGAAACCTTCATGGATTCCTGTTATTATTTTATAAATTGTATCATAAATCACGCTTTGGTTAAATATTACAATTGATAAGATTAATAAGACAGTGTCAACGAGTGAAAATATTAGGTTGTCAAGAAATAAATGTCGCTTTTTTTTTAGATGAAAAAATCCGAACAACTTATATACCAAAACAAAACATTTATTAAATGAAATAGTCTCTATTCTTATCGATGATGCTTTTCCATTTTACAATCAGGTTGTTAATGCCTTGGTTAAAAAAATCACTTGGCTTTGAAGCAAAAAACATGTCGATGTCCTCTTTAACACCTTCCACATTTGCATATGTTTTACCATTAAGATGGTGTTGCATCGAATGAAAAGGGTGGTAATCTGATGATGCCATATCTGGAGAATATGGTGGGTGGTGGAGAACTTCCCAATCCAACTCCATAATCTTGTGTTGCGTCAAACGTGTCGTGGAGAAGAAGAAGAACACCTTTCCGATTGACGAGTGAAGGGCGTTACTGATGAAGGGCTTGATTTAAACGTTCCAGTTGCTGACTATAGATCTCTGCATTGACAGTTCGTTGTGGATTGAGGAATTTGAAATGAATTACTCCTTTGATGTCTCACTAAATGCAAAGCATCACTTTCTGCGTATGGAGTCCATTGTTTTTGGCGTTTAATATTCGAATAGAGATTCCTTTTTTCATCACCAGTAACAATTCTGTCCAAAAGCTGTTCACGCGCCAGAAGAGACGAAGCAACATTCACATTTTGGAAACGATGATCATCAGAGAGTTCGTGAGACACCCAAACACCTTCTTTAAGGAGTTTTCCCATATTCCTTAGATGTTTACGTATTGTTTCATAAGAGACATGCAACTTCAGGGCCATTTCACGAGTGTGTTGCCTTGGGTTAGACTCAACAAGCGTCTTCAGAGCATCAGTATCAATTCCAACATGTCGGCAATCACAGTTTTTAATGCTAAACTCACCTGAACTAAATTTGTTGAACCACCGTAGACACTTACAAACGTTCAAAATATTTCCATAAACTTCTTTGATATTATTTGTGGCTAAAGAGGCGTTGTTTCCCTTCTTGTATTCAAACAGCATTACATGCCGAATGTGTGTCTCGTCGTGTGCCATCACCATAAGAGATTAGAGTATACTAAACTTTACTTATTATATAGGCTATACCAACGTGACGTTTAGCGGTTCGTTTAACTATTATACGTGATGTACGTTTTTTTGGAGGTGGTTAATGAAAGTATTCCAAAACGCTACATTAATTTCTTGACGACCTAATATGTTGCTTAAGTGATCGTTTATGTAACTCTTTGAATACACTGACTTTTGTCACTACTGTATTTGAAGTTATTGAAGGTTCGTAAGCTTCCAGTTACACATAAAGACCAAGGTATGTTTTCATGGGAAATATGGTCTAGGCCTAAGAAAGCGAAATCACAATATTATAGTCGACCACATACCATTCACAGTGGTGTAGGAAGGAGTTTCAAAATGTAGGTACTTGGCTAGACGTGTAAATTTTACAATAAGAGATTGTAAAGATAAGGTGCTGCTAAAAACAGCTCCCGTGCTGCCAAAGGCATCTGAATATACGGGGTTGGGGCATGCTCCTCAAAAAATTAATATAATTATATAAATGACAGTTGCCATATAAGGTAAATATGTAAAAGTGGGGGGTTCCTACAGCAAAATATGTAAAAGTGGGGGTTCCTACGGCAAAATATGTAAAAGTGGGGGTTCCTACGGCAAATGATTCAAATCCCCCTCACAGTTTCAATTGACTTTTGATTCTTAGCAGTTAAT